GGCAGGGGGGTTGTATATCGATTGTAATCTAGGGGATTACTATCGATATATAGCACCTTTTAAATTTTGCTGATGAAAAGCGTAGTAAGATTTCAACAATTATACAGAAATAATAAAAATCAGGAATTAACACTCTTTCAACGAGCAATAATTCTTACTCTTGTTGAAAATGAATGTTCTCAACATCAAGTTGCTTGGACAATAAGAATTTCTCCTTCAACAGTATCTAAAATCGTGAAAAAGTTTAAAGAAACAGGCAAAATTGATGATTTGCCAAGGTCGGGTCATCCTAAAATTTTTTCTTCTGATGAAGAAAAATTAATATGTGAAATGATTATCCCAGGGCAATATGAAACAGCAGTTGATGTGCATGCAAAGTTTTGTTGTGAAACAAATAAAGAGATGTCAGTCGAAACAATACGAAATATTCTTCGAAGAAATGGATATGTTTCTAAAGTTAAAAAAAGATATCCTGCTCTTACTAATCAATATAAAATAGAACGTTTAAAATTTGCAACAAAATATAAAGACTAGACCGTTGATGATTGGAAGAAGGTTATTTTTTCTGATGAAAGCAGGTTTTTACTTTTTGGTGCTTTTAAAGGATGTCGACTGATAAACATATAATTCTGACAAAAAAGTTTGGTAGTGGCAGTATTATAGTATAGTGTTGTATGACCTCAGAAGGTCATCATAGTGAATTAGTCGAAAGAACTTTAAATTCAGTAGGATATATTAATATTCTTAATGATTGTTTATTAGATATGCTAGAATCATATGAATACGACGAGGATGAAATGATTTTTCAGCATGATAATGCTAGAATACACATGTCAATTGCAACAAAAGCATAGCTTAAGGATAATAATATAACTGTTTTAGAATGGCCCTTCTACTCTCCTGATCTAAATCCAATTGAACATTTATGAAGCAAAATAAAAAGGAAATTAAAAAAAGAGTATTTTGATAGAACTGAAAAGGACAAGTTATGAAACAGAATAGTCCAAATATAAGAAGACATAGGCATCGATGTAATTACAAATTTGTACAAATCGATGCTAGCAAGAATTGCAACCGTAATAGAGGCTAAAGGTAGTTATATAAAATATTAAGAAATTACATATCAATATATGTATATGTTGTATATAGAGAACTTGGGCCTGAGCTTGTGTTACTGAAACTATTTAGGTATAAAAAGCATTAGCATAGATACTTGGGTATAAAAGCATTAGTATGAATACTTAGATATAAAAGCACTAGCATAGGCTTCGAACACCCCTCCCCCTTCCTCTCCTCCTCTAGCTGAACTTTTATTCTGTAAATTAACTTATAGAGTTTTGCCATTTCTAGTTATGCTCCAGATGACAATACTAAATTTGGGCTTAGAAGAAGCAAAAAAATCGGCCGAAGCTCTTAGTGAAAATACAACACTTACAGTTTGTATTTGCCTTTATATATACATTTATTCTCAATTTCTTCTAGTTAATAGTCTAGTTGTTTTCATATTTGTTTTTGATTTGAGTAAACTTTGATAACTATAATTAAAAAAAATATACAATTTTTATGATTAGAAATAAAATTATGAAGCTATATTATCAATAGTGAAAGAATATTCATGCCTAAATTATAAGTATTGTATATCGTATTTTTCTTTATTGTATATTAGCTAACTTGTGAATAGAGATATTTTAATATTTTTTAGGGCATAAATCAACTTCGCTGACAACTATTTCGCTGACAAATTTTGGCTTAATTTAATTCAGGTTGGATTGCTTTATAGTTAGTATTGGCTAGAGATTGTTGGTGAAGTGACTGTTAGCAAAATGGTTGACTATATTTCTTTTCACTGCAAATTCCTGAACCGTGACTTTCTATATTTCGATAGAAAATTAGTAAGTCTATAGTTATTATATTCTCTTTCTAGAATTGCTGTATATTTGTTATAATCTAATTGAAGTGTTTTGTTAAATTATACAATTTTGTATGATTATATTCAGAAGCATGACTACACGTATTTTAGTAGGTTGAATTATTCAGTTTTGCAAGTTTAATTTATAACTGGATATAAGTTAGAATTTTGCGTGGTGCTATTAAAATATATTCAGATTAGTGTATATATATATTTGTTATATTGTAAGTTATTGTAAAAGTGCACCATACTTACCAAAATAGTAGAACCCACTATGAATCAGGCTAGTGCTAAAGTATAGATAAAAATTTTGGTAAAATGAAACAAACCCAGGTATAGTATACAAAATAATGATTAAAAGACTTGAATAATTTATATAATATTAGAACATAATATAAATATATCATAAAAACCTCTAATTATCAAACCAATGTCTATACAACAGACCTGTGTTTATTAAAGATTTTAAAATTAGAATGTGCCAAACACTATACAATATACCCAAGTATATTATGAGGATGATTTCTTGATATGAGGATTTAGAAAAAAACAAATCATATAGACCAATATATACCTTTATGTAGGAACTTTTTGATAATAGATTATTTGACAATGCAATTATCTGACAGATAGCTCATTAGACAATTAACTATATCATGTTTGAGAAGGAAGGTTTATTTTTAATATTATACAACAATGACAAATAGTATGATTTAGTAAGTTCAAGCTAATAAGTAGATGAAAATTTAATAGGTTTTGAGATAATCTAATAGGTTTGATACATATTTATTAAATTCTTCATGCATAATAGTACAGAATAAACCTTAAATAAATCACAACAATCACTTTAATTATTTGTCAAACCAATCAAAAAAAAATTAAAAGTAACTATTTAAGTCCCAATATACACCAATTGGCCTATATATCTTATTATTAAATCTGCTACAGATTACAGGTATCTTATACAGTATTTTATGATACCAGATCTGGATTATGTATATGTACTTTTACAGTGCATTAAAATTTATTACGTATTGTAAATTTACAACCCCTAAAATTATTACTACGTATTAATTTAATAAAATAAAAAAAAACAAACTATAAACACGTATCAGTACCATTATTCGATTTATATGTATATACGCAGGTTATTTTAACTCTGTTGCATTGTTAAGTATATGTATATATTTAATGAAATTTAAGACTTTTTAAAACTAATATGGTTTTATATCAATAAATGCAAAGATATATATATATAATTTAAATACGAGTTATTTTTAATCTTATAAATTTGATAATAAGAAATCTAATGTACTTATTATAGCAAGAATTTTAAAAATAATCATACATTTTATTCTTTTTGCTGCCATTATTAAATCATTTTTTGCTTAAAATTCCTATTTTTTTTTCATCGTCTTAAAAAAAAAAATACCAAAAGCATCTAAGAATAACATCAGCAAAATTTTTAAGCAGATATATATCGATATATAGCAGTTAATCGATATATATCGATTAAAAATTAT